GTCTTATTAACAGCCAGTGTGCGGAGCAGCTGTTTTCGGGGATGAGAAAGAACAATTACTTTTTGAATCTGACAACCCCATCTACGCACATATTTCTACAAAGAAACATTCTCCATCATTACAACATGACAAGGAACCAAAAAATGAAAAACCAGTAGAGCAAGATTGTTCCTCCAGATGTTGCAATGCAGTGTGACAGCCATGGAAGGGTAGTCTTAGGTATGCTATTGAATATTTATGCACATTTGTTGTCTTCATCTACTTTAGACAGTAATGTATGTAGCATTTTTTTCCTATAGCTCACTCCCCATCAGCTGCAATGTCAACGGGGTCATCTGGCAAAGAACAAGACGACTCAAGTGTGTGAGTCATTGCTCTATTTTACACGTCATTCAAAGGAGAAATGTGACAGTTCACACTTAATTTTATTTTTCTGTTGTTGCTTTTTACACTAGTAAATGATGACAGTGAGCAGAGACCTTATGGAGTCTTCACTAGTCTCCACAACTTAGCAGCACACAGAGCATGCTGGGGACAGGAACTCCAAGACAGCCAGGAACAACTGGTAAAGTCAACCATTGTGCCACTGTGGTTATCTATGAATGTCATTCATATAATCATACATGTATAAAGACTTTGTTTTCTTACACTAGATGTCTTTTGGGTCTTATAATCTGCCCAAATTGTGATTAATTGGGGTTATTATTGTCTCAGATGCTCTATAGTTGATTTGTTTTGAGCATTCATCTCACTTCTAGGTTCTGATTCTAATTTTAGGGACAAGATATAAAGACAACGCACATCCAAAAGGTTATGTTGCACTGCGTTAAGAGAGATTGCAGGAGCGCACGAGGAACCCCATTTTTCGAACAGTTGACCACGAGCGCATGTGAGAGCTCTCGCACCGCGTCTCGCTCCTCATACCCATGCTGAGGACTTAGCTCTCGTCCTAGGCCGGGAACACTCCCTCTGCTCACCTTCACCAAGTTTGAGACATAGTGCAGGTCGTCCTCTAGTATTGGTAAGTTTATCCATCTTTTATATGTTTTATGAAATTCGTCAAGTTCTGTGTTGTTTGGTTGTGACTGACCACAAGGGCTCTGCCAAAACTTGAAAACTTTGATCTCTGTTTGTGTCGCAAAGGACATATCTATTATCTTTCACTTTTTGGTTATTTCTCCGTTGTGTAAATGTTTGTTATTAACCTTTAAAGTATACAACAAACAAAAAGATTAGTGTTAATCCGATATAACAAATAAAAATCTCAATAACACCTTTCTCTTAAAACGCAACTAATTTGTAAATTCCCTTAACTGGCACTCTCCTTATTAGGAAACCAATGAACAAGCAACAAATTGCAAGAAATTGGCAGAAGGCTAGTTGTTCTAGCTAATTTTTTAGAGGAATAGTAATAATTAAAGTACCAATTTTCTTCTATTATATTTCTTATATAATAATTAAAACTAACCAGAATAGACAATTGGTCTGGTTTTGTTGTTTATTTCTACCATGAGTCTGATGTTCACATAATACAAGTCATTATACGTATTTAACTTAAATTGCCACGATTTACAAAACCATAGCAATGTCATAGTACTGTAAGCAAATGACCCTCAACACATTCCTTAATCCCATTTGTCCTACCAGTTGACATCGGTATTGATCTGAGCTGTGGTCACTCAGGAACAGGTGAGTGTTTCAACTTGAGCTCTTACCAAATCACATATGCATCCTCCCTGTGGGTGCGCAGTTGAATATGGTCCCAAGAGGCACTTCCGAGGAAGTTGGCTCTTTCAACTCTGTTTGTTATGGTCTGCATGGTGGGATTGTGTTTAAATGTGTCCTGGATCTAGGTGGAGTGCTCCTGATCAACTTGTAACCGGTTTTTTTTTTTTTATTATGGCTGCAAACTGGCTTTTGTCACATTGCAATTAGACACTATTTGCAGACAAAGGTGCATGTGAGTTTCGTGAGTAGAATTAGAGGACTTATATATGTATTCCATTGTTCACTCTCACAGTTGTATCCCATCTTGTATCCAATTTTGATCGCTCCAGCCATCTTGACAACAGGAGCCACACCGGTTAATACAATTATTTGTTCTTTGTTTTTGTTAACAGGCTGGGTCTAGCTCTAGAAAAGTCTTCATTAGCCTTAGCTCATCAATGGCGAATTATTGTTATGTAAGTAGAGAAGCTTGAGGGAGTTGTGATCCCCACATCCGTTACCAGGGTTATATCGATTATATATTGGTAAACCTTTGCTACTCTTACTGGGCCTCCACTTCACCACTTTTGGCTACTGAGACGTCTCTGAATTATTGGTTAGAGCATTGTCCATGACTTTTGTGCTACTTATAATGTATATATGAATTTCATACTATGATTTTTTGCTATTTGTTATTGTTTCCTTGCATAATGTGTTTCCATGGTCTACTTTTGTAGGTTTGCACAACCCGGTGTGTTTTTTACTCAATATATGAGATCTTTTTGAGGACTTAAGTGGAATCCTTTTTAGGGATGACAGTAAAATATTGTTCACTAAGAGATCAGGGGATATGCAGCGCAAAAAGGGCCCAGTACTATCCTAGCATTCTTCTTATGTCCTTTCTTAGCTCTACCTTGGTCTTTGTACACAGACTACTAGTAAGTACAAGATCTGTTTGGCTGTTTCTTGCATCAACAGTTCATGATCTCGCGCTCGAGGAGAGTGGGGCTGGCTGGCCTGCGGACGGAGGAAAGTAGGGCCAAAGAATTAACTATGAAGTGTGAAACATACCACTGTATAAGGTGCGAAATGCATATCTATTCAGGACCTGTAATTCATGTTCTTAAGACGTGTTTCACACTTAGCTATAGAATTTTTTAATATAATATTTTTTTCACATCTGCTAATGGTTTCGTAATGATCTGTAGTCCCCAGTGTATAAACAAATAGAGTTTTCATCGTCCTAATGTCTAAGTAACGTATGACTACTTGTCGGGTACTGTAAATAGGTCCTGTTTCTTTATTTAGAACCTTAGGCTTTGTCGCGCGGATTATTTTGTTATTTTTTGTCAGAGCTCTGGTTTTTAAACTAATGGCTGGTTTCAAAATGAATTTTCACAGGTCACAGACTAAAAACTGAAAGGTGTAGCAGTCTGTAATGACTTCTTGCCGCATTTCATAATGGCCAAAGTCCTCTACTGCTTCAGCACGGAGGGTTCTTTCCCCATTATGTTTTTACCCTGTTCCCCATATATTCTCTGAGTCATGACATTAACTTCTGTTGTTATTTGGACACTTTAATTAAATAAAGACTGATTTAGGATTGATATGATTGATTGTATTGCTATAGTCTGTCATATTTTGCTCCTTGGTTATTGCCTTCATAGTTACGTGCTTTATTTGTAGTTCTTGTCTATGCACAAGGAATATGACTCATCCCTATTGTTACTGTATGTATGTTGAGAGAGATGCTGTGAGATTTGTGGATTCATTTAATAGTAGTGAATGCTGCTGATAATGTAGTGGGCTCCGGTCTGACTGTTTTTTTCTGTTTCACAGGTGGTTCTTGGGCAGTTATCACATTTAGCTCCAATGTGGGATAACTCCTCCGCTGTATTCAGTTCAAATTCAACCTTAGAGCAAGACGTGGGGCCATTTCCATGACTTTGGGATCTCTTGCTCTCCTGGAAACAGTTCTTTCACCAATGATGTCAGTGTACGATATAAATCAATAGCCAGAGGGGCTTTGCGCACTGCATGCCAACCGCATGCAGCGCCAAATCTTTGCCCCTTTTCAAGGGAAGGTTACTGGATCCCACACCCAGAGGGAATTTACTCGCTTAAGCGCAGAAGCTTCAGAGGGAAAGTTCATGTCAATTTGTCTAAAATTTCCCGAAGATGAGCTTATGTCCACCCCCTTCTCATTCGGTCCTCACAGCATTTTGCTTTTGGGAAGGGTTTATTGTGTTCCCACCAGGGAAACAGCAAAGACCAGGGAGTTGAGGTTTATGGGAGAAAGCTAGAGCTTGTGCCAGAACTTGGCTGGTATTATAATTAACAGTCTCTCATGTTGATGACGGAAGCAGGCTGGTTATGTTTCTTTTCCCTTGTTGGGATGACGCAAGAGCAACAATTTACTTTTGAATTTCTGACAACCCCTCTACGACCACACTATTTTCGACAACTTAGCATTAACTTTCTCTTCCATCATGTACAACATGACAAAGAAACCCAACAATATACATGATATAAAAACCAAAAGTACGCAGAGAACACGCATGGTTCCCCCAAAGACCTCGTAATGACATTGAGTTGCAGGTGTTGACAGCCATGGAAGGGTATCTTCCTTTAGGATAAAAATTGCTATTGAATATTTATGCATTCTTGTAATAGTCCTTTCATTCTACTTCAGACAGTTAATGTATGTTTAGCATTTTTCCATAGCTCAGTCCCACAGCTGCAATGTCAACGGGGTCATTTGGCAAAGAACAAGACGACACGAGTCATTTGCTCTATTTTACACGTTCATTCAAAGGGAGAAATGTGACCAGTTCACACTTATTTTATTTTTCTGTTGTTTTTTTCACACTAACGCTCCACATGCGAGCCAACAGGAATTGCCGCAGCCCCAAATCATGAGGGTGACAGTGAGCAGAGACCTTATGGAGACTTCACTAGTCTCCAACACTTAGGCAGACGCATTGTATGTTCTGCTCTACGAGAGAACAGAGACTCCAAGACAGCCATGTAATTGTGTTATAGTCAACCATTGTTTGCCACTGTTGGTTATCTATGAATTCATTCATATAATCATACAATGTAATAAAGACTTTTGTTTTCTTTTACATTAGATGTTTTATGTCTTGGATGAGGAGCAAAATTACCGTTTTGGCCACCTTGCAATGGTGAACAATATCATCATGACCCGCTTTGATTTTGGGACTCTGGGTTTGCCAGCGGGACATGGGACGGGACGTAGGCATAGAGAATGTTCTGTGCCGATATGGTT